TAATATTGTATAGTGTATTATAATATTATATTATACTTTAATGAGTTATATTATATTATAATTATTACATATTATTTTCAAATAATTATATATTTAATTATTTTATTATATCAATTTGTTATTGTTGTATATTATATTAATATTTTTATAATAATATTATTTTATTATTAATATAATATTATACTATTATTAATATAATATAATATTATACTATTATTCATATAATATAATATTATTAATAATGTTAATATTATGTTATTACTAGTATATTATTATATAAATATTTTAATATTATATAATATATTATAGTTTTTAATATGTTAGAGTTTATTAATAGTACTTTAATAATATATTAGTATTTATGATATAAATAATACTATTATTATTATGAATATATAATTTTTACATTAGCATTTAATTAGCAATAAATTATTTTATTATTAAAAATATTTTACTTTATAATAAATTATATTATTTGTTACATAATATATTAATATTTTCTATATTATATTACATTTACTATACAACATGTTATTATAATAATATTATTATATTGTTATGTTTATTATTACTAATATTTATCTAATATATAATATTTAATAATTATTACTTTATTAAATTTATTTATTAAAATTAATAAACTTATAGCAATGTATACTATTGTATAATATATTATATATCATTACTATATTATTATTTATTATCAATAACTTTTATTGTTTTTTATATTTTTATTATATAATACATTATTAACATATTAAATATTGGTAATTAATTACTTTATTAAAATTTATTTATAAAAGTTTAATAATATATGATATTATAGTATTGTATATATATTTATTTATCATTACTATATTATGATTTATTATCATAAATTTTTATTGTTTTTTATTATTTTATTATTATATAATACATTATTAACATATTAAATATTAGTATTTAATATGTTATTATATTATTATATAAGATATTTTATTTATTATATTTTTATATTATTTAATATATATTACTAATATATTAAATTAACTATAATATAGTTGAGTATAATATAATATAATAAGCATGTTGATAATAACTCTATATTAATTACATTTAATATATTATATTAGTAATAAGCATGTTGATAATAACTCTATATTAATTACATTTAATATATTATATTAGATATTATATTAACATATTTTCAAACTCAACCAAAACACCAAACTTAAAACACCTAAAAGGTGTTTTGAAATAAGTATTGTGTTTTTGGTTTGAGGATGATTTAGCTCAAAAACATCATAATTTCTAAACGCATGGTGTTTGGTTTTTAGCAAAAACACCATAGAAACAAGTAAAACATCATGGTATCCAAACAGAGCCCAAATGTTAGACTTCAGAGGTTTAAATGGCCACACACGAAGATGTTGACGTATACTAGAAATCAGCACATGCAAATGTATGGGAAACATATTATTTTGGCATGTTTATATTTGAAAAGAATATGAAATAATTAACATTTTATTTAGACAGTATATTTAATTGTAAGAGGAGATAACTGGCATTGACCTTAGGGTTTAAATCGCCATACGTTGACTTTTGGTTGCAACGTGTTGACTGGCGTTGACCTAGGGTCACGCATTGATCGGCGTTGTCCTTAGGGTTTAAATTGCCATACGTTGACTTTTGGTTGCAACGAGTTGACTGGCGTTGACCTAGGGTTACGCGTTGACCGGCGTTGACCTAGGGTTTATACTCGTACGTTTGCTGGAGTCTACACAGTTTAAGCTCTTAAGGTATTGGAGCATGACGGTCCTAAATATCGGGCTACAGGACCAACTGTTAAAGTTGATTCGTCTGCAGATATGGATCTTACTCCGAAGCTGTTGGATGCGGGCTACAGGACCAACTGTTAAAGTTGATTCGTCTGCAGATATGGATCTTACTCCGAAGCTGTTGGATGCTCGAGTCACGAGACCAGTTAATAAAGCTGTCGTCTGCAGATATGGATCTTACTCCGAAGCTGTTGGATGCTCGAGTCACGAGACCAGTTAATAAAGCTGGTGCGTCAATGACTCTCACATTTATAGGATTTTTGGCAAACCCTCAGCCATCAACGGGTTTGATTAGCCTTTACAGACTACCGTTTGAGTCGGGCTAGCATGCAGATTGTTTAAGTCCGTTCTGCACATAACGTTATGCTAAAAGAGTTAACTCTTTTAGTGCTACGATATTGAATACGTAGACTTCGTCTTTCTCACGGGAATAGACTACCCGGCAACGTGTGTTAGACGTAGACTTAGGATTTTTGGTAAATCCTCAGCCATCAATGGATTTGATGTGCCTTTACCGACTACCGTTTGAATTGGGCTTACATGCGGATTGTTTTAAGTCCGTTCCGCATGTGACGTTGTGCTAAAGGAATGAACTCCCTTAGACTTGATGCTACGACTTCGAATACGTAGACTTCGCCATTGTTACGGGGATAGGCTACCCGGCAACGTGTGTTAGACGCTGACGTATTCCTACTTAGGCTTCGGGATAAAATACCCCAGACTGGATTCTGGTGTCTTTTTCAATCGGTGAAAGACTAAACCGGCAACGCGTGTTAGGCGTTGACTTATCCCTACTTAGGATTCAGGATAAAATTCCTCGTGCCTGTGAGGGGCGGATTTTAAGAGTTGAAAAAGTAGTGTCTTCTCTTGGGGTAAAGACGAACCCGAAATGGGAGAGAAAGAATTTTATATTCTATCTCCCAACACTAAAGAGGAAGAATTTTATATTCTATCTCCAGTTGGAAAGGAGACTCAAGGTGGGATCTCCACCCCTAGAAGAATCGAAAAGATTCGGATAACCCTAACTGTCGGAAGGTTTGATTACCGAACTAAAGATGAATTTCTCGTTTATCGAGAGTGAATTGTGGTTTTGGTCCTAACTGTAGGAAGGTTTGACCAAGCGGGAGTTTGAGATGACCCTAACTGTAGGAATGTTTGATCACTCGATTTGTGGATCTCTCGTTCATTGGAGGAATCGAGAGGAGATTTTGGTTATGGTCCTAACTATAAGAAGGTTTGACCAAATAGGAGTAGGAGTACAAATTATAGTGGGGGTGTTGACTTGTACAAATCACTCAAATGGGGTTCCTGGTGTTAAGTGATAGGGACTTAACACGAAGGGGTTTGACAATTTGTCAATGATGGACATATTAAAATTCACTTAACTTTCGAAGAGATTTTACCTTCATTATTTGAACTCTACAAGATTGTCACGAAATCCATTGCTAATAGGCTACAACGAGTTCTTGGCGGATTGATCGGATGCTTTCAGAGTGCCTTTGTCTCAGGGAGATCTATTCAGGACAATGTCATTGTTGCTTTTGAACTTCTCCACACATTACAAAAAAGGAGACGGGGTCAGTCTGGCCATATGGCACTAAAATTGGATATGAGTAAGACATATAATAGAGTGGAATGGGGGTTTATTGATAAATCCTTTCAGGTCATGAGATTTCCACATCATTAGAGGCATCCCATCTTAGACTGTATCTCTACTTCCTCACTCTCTTTCTGCCTCAATGGGCAGATTGTGGGTCAGGTCACTCCTAATCATGGTCTGCGATAAGGATGCCCACTATCTTCTGTTTCTTCTCTGCACGGAAGCTCTCTCGGCACTGATCATTAGACAGGAGGAGAACAGGTGCATCAGAGGGTTATCTTGTTCCTGGTCGGGGCCAAGGATTTCTCACTTGTTCTTTGCAGATGACTCTTTGGTTTTTATTCAGGCTTCCCAGGCCGCTGCACAGATTGTCTAGAGTATTCTGCTACTATATGAGGCTGCAACCGTTCAGAAAGTCAACTTTCAGAAATCTGTCATCACCTTTAGCCCCTGTGTAGATGAGGATACTAGGATTTCTATTTTCTCTTTCTTGGGGCTTGATAGGGCCCAGTCACATGATCAGTACTTAGGCCTCCCTTTGGTGGTTGGAAGAAGCCGTCGTCAGACTTTTGTTTCAATCAGAGACTCAGTTTGGAAAAGAGTCCAAGCTTGGAGGAGGGCTCTTTTCTCAGCTGGGGGACGAGAGGTTATGGTGAAATCTGTTTTGTAGGCGATCTCATACTATGTGATGAGTATCTTTCGCATTCCAATTTCTTTGTGCAGGGAGATCGAGTCTATCATTATGAGATTCTGGTGGGGATCAACTTCTGATGAGAGAAAGATTCACTGGGTTAGGTGGCAGAAGGTTTGTCGTGCAAAGTCATAGGGTGGTCTAGGCTTTAGAGATCTACATATGTTTAATCAGGCATTGGTGGCTAAACAGGTATGGAGAAACATCCAGGACCCTTCTTCTCTAGCTAGTAGGGTTTTGGAGGGGAAGTATTTTAGGGACTCGGACTTTCTTTCAGCTGGTGTCGGCCATGGCTACTCGTATTTATGATGGAGCATTATCTGGGGGAGAGAGCTCCTGACTCGAGGTCTGAGATGGAGGATAGGTTATGGCCAGAGTGTCTCTATCAGTGCTGACCCATGGATCCCAAAGCCCTTTTTTCAGGCTAATCACTTCTCCGATCAACCCTTTCAGAAAGGTGGCTGAGCTGATCTCTGCTTCGGGTACTTGGAATCATGAGCTGATTGCTACCTTCTTTTGGCAGGTAGATCGGGAGGACATTTTATTTATCCCACTGTCGCCTTCTCCTGTCCCTAACAGACTCATTTGGCATTATGAGGAGAAGGTGTGCTACACAGTCAAGAGTGGATACCGACTTCTTCGCCACACTATGCCTGATACGCTTAGGGATGAGCAAGTGATCGGTTCGGTCGGTTTTTATGAAATTTTGAACAACCAAACTGAACCGCCCATTATTCAAAACCGAACCGAACCATTGCAAATCGGTTCGATGCTGTTCGGTTTGGTTTGTTTGGTTCTAAGTCATCAGAAGACAAGCCATGCATCTCGGCTAGCTTAGAAATCTTTTCAACAAAAAGGATCAAGCTGTCAAAAGCCAATGATAGCACTGATATATACTTTCATAGAAGTTGCACAACTGATGCAAAAACTAAAGGACGTTCTCCTTGTGACTAAAATTTAAAGATAAATAATCAACATGAGAATTATTCAGGACTAAACCCTGATTTAAAACAGTGCACCAAAACTAGATCTTTTTGATCATTCAATCTACACCAACATAGGGAGGTGAGGTCCTACTATAACAAATTAAATTGCAACGTATCCTTCCACGGAGTTGATATTACCAAGTAATTAATTCCCTCATGCAGTAATTTTATCCCTTTTCTTGAATAAGCATTAACAGCAAGAAGATGCGTCACTGGCTTTAAATCATCAGCAGCTGAAAAATGGATCAGACAGAGAATTAACACCAGAAGTAACACATATAGCTTATAGTTCAATAAGGAAGCTGCACGAGGACTTAACAAGCTTACTTTCAGAGGAATGCAAGTACTTTACTTCTTTCAGCGTAGTTTCACCCCTAAAAATAATGTAAAGAGTGATATACAATTTTCCTTTTCCTTCCCTTCACCAAGTATCTGCAAATCATAATGATACAAAGCGGAGTTCTAAATTCAGCATCATAAGAAGAAGAAGAAGCATCAATATAATTAGTTGTGTTTTGTGTGGGCTGGAGGTATCCAGCTAGTGGATGATAAAGACTTACAAATCTGTATTCTTCCATGAAAGCTCTTATAAATCTATGATTGTCGGTTCAATTGAAAGCATACCTAAATCAGAAAGATAAACAAATAAAAAATTAAGAAAAAATCAAATCATTTAACATACAAAAACATAAATGGTAAATACCTATGTCTAGCTTCTCAAGAGCATCCAAATCTTCTTCAAAACAAATTTTGCTTGAACCCGACATAGCCAACAAGTTTCGAAGCCAATCGGAAGTGCATACTAGGTGTAGGCTGTCTAAAAATCACAATAGATAGCTTATCCCCCATCAAACACCGATGATGGAAGTTATAATCTGACGACTTCCAGAAGGCTGTAATCTGATGACTTTCGCGTAGATTGCTGAAGGTTACAATCTGACGACCTTCACGACAACCGATGAGAGTTCTAGTTCAACAGCATTCACAATCAACATCGGGAGTTACAATCTGACGACTCTCATATTCTCAAGGAGCCAAGACGAAGATTACAAGACAATGATCTTTGCAACGCTATGACAAAAGAGATTACTTGTTGATAATCTCTCCAAAGCAAGACGCGGAACTCATCACCGCGCTCTAAGACCAAAACGCGGAGGTCCTCCCCGTGTATCAATACCAAAATGCGGAGGTCCTCCCCGTGTGTCAACAGTAAAACGCGAGGGTCGAACCCACGTTACAACATCAAAATACTAGGGTCGAACCCATGTTACAACATCAAAACGCTGGAGTCGGACCCGTGTTACAATATTAAAACGCTGGGGTCAGACCGACGTTTTTCAATGCCCAGCGGGTACCTAACTCCGCGTCTCCAGTCTAAAATACGGAGTTAGGGTCCTGAACGCCAACGTGGGCGTTTGACTCGTTCAAACATGAGCTGAACGGTTCCAAAACCGGTTCCCATGATTTGTGGGCGGTTACACCCCACTTAGGAGTGATTTAAGGGGTGGTTACACCCCCTTAATCCCCTATAAAAGCGAGTAAACTCAACTGAGTTGAAGGTTGGCTTCTTTGGTCCGGAGTTCAAGGCTTTTTCGGCTGGCATTTTTGGATCTGGGACTTGACAGCAAAGGGAGAGATCGACATTCATCCTTTGGAGCATTCCTTGAAGCCTTCAGCCTTGGCTTGAGAACCGATTTTCGGTTCAAATCAACTCTTTTTGAAGAGTTTCAAACTCGATCAGAGTTATCAACTCATCAAGAGTTTTAAACTTGCCACGTAAGTTCTCCACAACATCAAATCGTGAGGAGAAGACATCGTTCTAGTGAATCAAGACGGTCGGATCGTCAACGGAGAGCAAACTCGACGCGAGCATTCGAGGGAGGCACTCCATCGCTACCTTGAAGAACCCAGTTTTAAACAAAGGAGAGAACCAAATTTGTTCTCTTCTCTTTTGTAATAAAATTGTAACTGGAATCAAAGAAATACAAGCCAAGTTTCTTTTGTTCTCTTCATTGCAATTTTTCCAACAAACAAAAGATGGCGACTCCGCTGGGGAATAGCTTCTCTGACGAAGAAGTGGTGGTGCAATCCGATGTTTATCTTACTGGAACGACCGTTGAAACTCTGATCATCGAGTTTAATCAAGCCAAGTTCGAGGAGGCCCTCTCCTCCGGATCCCTTAGCCCCAAGGCTATGCGCAAGATCCACAAAGTTTCCGAGGAGACTAAAGCTCTAGTTGTGGCCAACTCATCTAAAGACTATCTCCCATGGGGGTTGCACTGTTCATACAGTCCCCTCTCTAAAGGAGAATACTCGACTTTGGTACAACTCCAAAAAAGCCAATTTTCCAATCAACGCGAACTCCGCGTTTGCGAGTCTCAACATGAGCTCTGCATAAGTCAAGCTAAACGCAGCCCTCAGGTGTGCGTTTCCCAGATGGAACGCAACCCTCAGAGGCGCGTTCCAACGTCAAAACGCAGACCTCAAAACTACGTTGATCTGGATGAACGCAGCTCTCAGGAGTGCATCCCAGAACCAAAACGCAACCCTCAGGAGTGCGTTCCACAAACTAAACGCAACTCTCAGGAGTGCGTTTCGGAATCAAAACATAGATTTCAAGACTACGTTTCATCAGCTAAACGCAGACATCAGGACTGCATTTCCTTAGCTAAACGCAGATATCAGGACTGCGTTTCCTCAGCTAAACGTAGATATCAGGACTGCGTTTCACCAGCACGACCTGGAGCTCAGGCAGGCGTCCGGGTAATGAATTTCAATACAAAACCTGGTGTATACCGTCGAGTTTCGGGGCGCTGCCCCGAACCCCGTCAGGGGGTAGTCCGGACCCCCCGCCAGGGGCGCGCCGCCCCCTGGACCCCCGGCTCGCTGACCGGGTAGCGAGACCCCCGAATACTCTATGTAGCACGACTAGATTGAGGGGCAGATATAAGAAGTTTATGGATTCAAGGCATCTCAACCAGATCCATATTCACCAAGAGCCAGTCCTGTCTAATCATGGACTGGGGGTTCCAATTCAAACCTCACAATCAGTGAGTAATTCTCTTCGAATCTTTACAACAGATTTGAGAGAGTTCATATCGAGAGAAAGACCGATGCAGCAAGTCATTCGTTCATTCCAATGTGAACGGATGATTCCTATGGTCCTCTCGGGATATCAATGCTGCTCATATGCGGCCAAACCATTGGTGTTCGACCAATTAACGGATGTTGCTTTGTCTAACCAACGACGACGTTCTCACAAGAAGAAGTCTTCATAGACCGAGTATCCTGAGGTCACTATCAATGTGATCGGCAGAGGGAAAGCCTCAGGTCCTAGTTCCAATAACTCTGAGACAAGTCGTTCACCGAACGTTAGAGAAATCACTAACGAGTTTGAAGGAGTCTACCGACACACTCGGACTCGAACATGAGCCATTCCCCCTGTCAACTATCAGAGGTTAGCCAAGGGAACCAATTCCAATGATGAACACTCAGCCATTGCAGAGTCCCAATCATCAAGCTCTTTTGTTGAACATGAGAGCCCCGCTTATATGACGGGAAACCATGAAGATCTCACGAAGAGACTTGATGAGCAGGAGGCCATGATCAAATCTCAGCAAGAGGCCATTAATGAACTCATGGCCCTGTTGACTCAAATAGTCGCAAACAAGGCCAAATCTCAAAAGACATATTTGCCACCCAGGCAAGAATCTTCCCGGAGAGGAAAAACGTCTTCATCCCGACCTCACACAAGAAAAGGGAAGGGAAAGGTGGTTGATGACACGGCTTCTGATCAAGAAGCCCACAACCTGGAATCTTCCTCTGATGAAGGAAGAGAGACTGAGAATGAGTATAATCTTCAGTCTGCCAAAATGGAAGAATTAGAAGCCCGCCTCAATACCATGGCCAACAGAAGCGAGCTCCAAGACGAGGGAGTTGTCAGACCCTATCCTACCGAATGGGATGCAGCCCCTTATCCTCTAAAATTTAAAGTCCCGACGCTACAAACTTTTGACAGCACGGGATCACCAAACCAACATATTTATCATTTCAAGTCACAGACTGGGAATGTAATATCAAACGATACCATACTGGCTCGATTGTTCATTGGCACCCTTAAGGGAGTTGCCTTTGAATGGTTCAGGAAACTACCTGCCGGATGTATCCAAAGGTGGGCAGATTTAGAGAGACTCTTCCTGTCAAGATTTTTTAAAGAGGATACAGAAGTCTCCATCCATACCCTTCTCGCCACTAAGCAGAAGAAGAGGGAATCTGTCAAAGCCTTCGTCAAAAGGTTCCGAACCATGGCTCTCTGGTATTCGTCAGGTATGCCACAGTCTACTTTAGTAGAGACCTGTCGACATAACTTGCAGACCGACCTCCTAGCCCAAATCGGAGTTGCAGAATGTCGTTCTTGGAGACAACTAATCTCTCAAGGCGAACATGCTCAAAAGATTATTGCCAGGATCAAAGCTAAAGAACAAAGTAGGCAGGATTAACCTGAGCAATCGGACCAAGCCCAACCTTCTCCTGAGCAATCGGACCAAGCTCACTCTTCCCAGTCAAAACCGGAAGATACGACGGCCGCTGAAGCCAATCCTTTTCAGTAGGATGCCGAGTCTTCAATAACTATCATGTTAACAATTACCTCTGATAGTCAAACTCATTAGATAGTGACCTACTCCTTTTTCCCCTGCACTTGTTCAAGACTGGGGGTTGGTTTATTTGTAGTTCATTGGATTATGAGTAATAAAGTTTCTGAGTTGTTATGTTTAATAGAATACCTTTTTCAACCACAAAATCTATCAAAACTATCACGTTAACAGTTACCTTTGATAGTCCATCAATCTGTCAATCCACTTCAATAGGAGGGCAGGTCCATAAAACTATTATGTTAACATCTACCTCTGATAGTCTATCAATCTGCCAATCCTCTTCAATAGGATGACAGGTCCATAAATCTATCATGTTAATAGTTACCTCTGATAGTCCATCAATCTGCCAATCCACTTCAATAGGAGGGCAGGTCCACAAAACTATTACGTTAACAGTTACCTCTGATAGTCCATCAATGTGCCAATCCTCTTCAATAGGATGGTAGGTCCACAAAACTATCACGTTAACAGTTACCACTGATAGTCCATCAACTTGTCAATCCGCTTCAATAGGATGACAGGTCCACTAAAACTATCACATTAATGATCACCTCTGATAGTCTGCTTTCTCCAAATTCCCCCACCAATACTCTTCAAGTAGGATGATGGGTCTATTAAAACTATCACGTTAATGATTACCTCTGATAGTCCATTCCCTTCAAATTCTCTTGTCAATCCTCTTCAAGTAGGATGGCGGGTCTATAAAAAACTATCACGTTAACAGTTACCTCTGATAGTCAAACTCATTAGATAATGGCCTACCTGGTGATGTGACTCTATTCCGACTTCATGGATAGTGCCTCACTAGGCGATGTGTCTTGTCTACCTCTTTTTATTCCCCTGCTAAGTCTTAATCTAGACTGGGGGTTGGTTACTTTGGATCCACTGAATTAAGAGTAACAAATCTTTCACATCGTCGAGTTAACATTATACTTCTGACGATCATCATCCCCACAGAGTATGCATTCA